GTAATTGGGTCCGTTCCGATCCCTTTATCACTAACTATATAACCTAAACAGCTAACTGATTTCTGCATTAAATGACACTTCGACGGTTTGAGCTTTAAATTTGCCTGGTGCAATCTTTGAAACAACAGTTCTAATCTTTTTAAATGTTCGTTTAAATTTTTACTAAATATGATTATATCGTCTAAGTTTTAAAACTAAACAGGTTTCAAAATTTAATCCTATCATGATATTATCCATTAATCTTTGAAATGTGGCAGGGGCATTACAAAGTCCAAATGGCATTCTGGGAAATCTGAAGGTACCGCGATGACAAACAAACGTGGTCTTATTTCTGTCTTTAGGATGAACTTCAACCTGATGATATCCTGATCTTAAATCGAATGAACTGAACCATTGGGATCCAGACAACAAATCGAGACATGAGTCTATTCGAGGAAGTGGATACACATCTTTAATCGTTATTTCATTTAACTTTCTATAATCTACACAGAATCTGTAGGAATTATCTTTCTTTTTAACTAATACTAAATTAGAAGCCCATTCGCTCTGACAAGGTTCTATAACTTTTTGCTGTAACATCTCTTCTAACAAATTGTCAATGATTGGTAGATGTGCTCTAGGTTGCGGTCGCAATGCTTGGCGAAATGGTCTGTTTGCTCCGGTATCAATTTCATGTTGCGTTACATTAGTTCTTCCTAAATCAAACTCGCTTAATGAGAGAATATTTTTATACTTCAGCAACAACTTTCTCAAGTTACCACGAATATTATTTGGAACACTGGAATGTACCTCATCAACTATTGTTTTTATAGTCTCATCATATTCTTTGGTGGGCTTGTTATTTGATTCTTGAACTTCATCATCAACTACAACTACTTCATGTAATTTGGTGATTACTTGATCCTTAGGTATTTCAACTTTCTCATCGGATATGTTACATACTCTAATACTCGTAGACGGTTTATTGACATCAATTAATGATCTCGCAGTTAACAAATTGTTTTTGATTTTATTTATGCTAGTTGACCATGCTGTTTCTGTCCAAAGGC